CCCCCTACTGACAGGAAAGGGTGCAGCCGGTCTAAACAATGGAACAGATGAGTACCCACAGCGGTGGGTGAGTCTATTCCCTGGGTTGCAGCAGTAGACTGATCCATGGCTTCTCTCAGTCCTGATGTGTGCTCCTGCCTCTGCGCCTCAGAGTGGGAAGTGACCTTTTTTAGAAATCTCCCTCTGACCGATGGGCTGCAGAACGTAGCACTGCAGGTGGTGCCGTGAAAATCTATTTAAATCTCTGCCAGCGCCGGCATGCCAAATCAACACCCCCGACCCTAAAAAGCAGGCCCCGTATTTATGCATCGTCCAGGTCTCCGATCTGTCCGATCGCTGAGGCATCATGCGTGGCTTGGAGGTAAACTTCAGACCATCAGAAGCTCATTCTCCCCATCAGCCCTCTTCTTCTGCACAGGCCTGCTGCTGCTAACTCATTTAAAAGCCGAGCCCCCGCTGACAGCAGATCACTTCTTCTTCATTTGGGAGCAAAGTCATTGATGTCCTCACAGTGTGTGGCAGCATCCACAGAGGACTTGTTTTTGAACGAGTTCCCATGACTCACAACTGAATTTAGATTTGAAAGAGGAAGAAACCGCCATTTAAATGTGCATTTAAAGAGCAAGTCACCCCCAAATCACATTTTTTTTGCTGATAAACTATATAAAGGAGTGTCTAATCGTGCTACAGACACGTGTCGTCAATAATTTGGCAGTTCAGTGCATCTTAGTTAAAATTTAAATATTCTGCCTAAAACTTTCAGTGTTGCGTCGTCGTCAGGGAAAAACTCTGCACTGTATTTGAATTTAAATCTGCCACCGCTATTGGCTAAGAGGTATGCTATGATGTCATCTGGTACATTATGATGTCATAATGCCGTTGTGAGCCTGTGTGTGTGTATTTGTTAGCGGCTCCGCCCTCTCGGTCTGCCAAGCAACAGCATTTGTTGCATTTTTCAAACATGAAGTGGGAGTGAAGTAAGTTTCTTGTAGGGGGTGACTTGCTCTTTAAGAAAAAAAGAAGGAAAAAAGATCTCTTATTCTCCGTGGGCATGTTAAAAAATAAGCAGTGGTGCTTTTTTAGCTTTACTCATGTTTTTCTTTTTGAAAGTTGTCATGTTTTCAGCAAGAAACCCTCAGTTTGTTGCAACAGCAAGTGCACAAACTACATTTTAAGGTGCACTGGCTGTTTTCCGTAGACAGAGGAGTGACCTTAGGGTCCTTTGGCTCCTGAAGGTTAAGAAAAGCAAATTCAATTTTATTTTATTTATGAAGCACCTTCCACAACCTTGTCAGAAGCCCAATGTGCTTAACACCATCATAAATCATGATGAAAACAAAACAAATATCAAAAGATCAAAAAACAGTAAAAAAAAAAAAAAGACGCGACAAATAAAAGCTATCACAAAAAACGGTGAAAGTTGAAGATAATCAAATAAAAAGATGAAGATAAGAACAAATTAAAAACAGCTTCATTCAAGTGTGGCGCATTGGGAGGACACTGGGTTCTTTGTAGAGTTCCTTGAATTGCTTGTTTTGCACCAAGGTTTAGCTTAGCGCCGGACTTCAATAGTTCATTGTTATTGTGATATCGGTGCGTTCAGTATCAATACTGCAAACGACTGCTTGGACTCAAACAAACTCATGTTCTGAATTATAATAAGTCAGAAAGCGGTGAGAGAGGAGAAAGCAAAATGTAGATTTACTACAGGGATTCCCAAAGTGTGGTGCGCGCACCCCCGGGGGTGCGCGAGCTGCTGCTAGGGGGTGCGCGAGATGAAAAGTGTAATGGCTGCGGAGCTCAGAGAAGTCTGTCATGTGTCACCATTAGCGTAGCCAGAAACTCATTTGTGGGTGGGCCAAAGAAAAAGTAAGTGGGCCCAATAAATGTAATTGAAAACAAGTATATTTTACTTGTGTGTGTGTGTGTGTGTGTGTCCTACACATGTGCCCTAACCTCATAATAACAATGCGCCGAGCTTCAGCACTCTGGCCTGTGCACGCCGATATGTTCCGTATTTGATCATTTTTAACGGTGTTGGAGGAATCTGAAGGTGGCGAGTCATTCTGGCAGATTGTAATTAACACCTGTCTCATGCAGGTGTTCTGACGTTGTAAACCTCACACGCGCTGAAGATCTGAAGTTTAGAGTGCGTCTGTCAGAGGTCAGACGCGTTCCGGAACCACGGCTCACGGGTGCACAAGTGAGCACATCTGGGCTGGGCAGAAGTCATTTTACAACGTTGGTTTAAATAGCGCCAATAACGAGACAAAGTGACTTAAACGCTGCAAGTTGTGAAGCGCGTTCCATCCGCGAGACGCATCACCAAGCGGAAAGTGAATGCGTCAAGCATAAACCAAGCTTCGTGGAGCTGTGCCGCGCGCGCGCACACACACACACACACACACACACAGATTCAATAAGTGCACGCTGCACAAACTCCGGCGCGCCAGACTGATACCGTCAGACTGAAGGCAGAAATGAGCTCTGCCTCCTCTGTGATAAAAACTTTTAAGAGGTTTTATATCAACATTTTTCATTCCAGGTCAAATTAAGATATTACCTTCTATTTTGGGATGATGTATTAAAGTCGGGTCCGCTCCAGCCAGTGACTCCGAACCTGCAGCATGTTGTTCCAGTCCGCGTGGCAGCGGATCGCAGATTCAGCCACACCATAAAACAGCAATAAGTCGGTCTGAGGCAAAAGTGAACCTCATGGCTATATCTTGTCCCCTATAGACATTTGATTACGCACCAGTAGGTGGCCAGTTCAGGTTTACGCAGAGCAGAAGGAAGGAGAGCGCTCTGGCCGCACAGGTTAAACGTTCCTACTTTAAGAAAACCGTTAAATTTCATTGTTTATGTGCTACCTGGGCACTCTAAATATTTATTTAAAATTAAATCAAAGGAAATTGTAATGGTATCGAATGTTTATTAATTACTATTTAAAAAATGAAAGTGATGGGGAAAAAGGTCGATCATATTTTTTTTAACCCTGTCTGTTTAGCTTGACGTCTGATATATCTATCTATCTATCTATCTATCTATCTATCTATCTATCTATCTATCTATCTATCTATCTATATATATATATATAGCCATGCCGTGATGTGTGTGTGTGTGGGGGGGGGGGGGGGGGGGTGCGTCGACATGGTCGGGACATAGAAGGGGGTGCGCGGCTAAATAAGTTTGGGAACCACTGATTTACTACAACTGATGCATAAATGATCACTTTTAGAAATGCATCTGAACAAACAGCAGATCTGCAACGAGGCGTGTGTTTATGACGTGGTCAACATGTGTATCTGCTAGAACTTTGCTGTGGAGATATAAAGAACAGGTCAGTGGAGTGATAACGGCGAGAGGGTTGGGTTTCCATCCTGAGTGACCCAGGATCGGTTGTTTTATTTGACACATTCAGGGTTCTCCTTAACCCTTATTACCGTATTTTCCGGACTATAAGCCGCTACTTTTCCCCCACGCTTTGAACCACGCGGCTTACCATGAGGTGCGGCTTTAGTCCACCAGAAAGGATGGATGCTGGAAAGTCTAATGAAGGAATGGTTAAAGGAGCGCTACGGAAAGCACCCAGGAGGAGTTTTTCACAGTAAAACGGCGCCGCTTGTTTTCCCAGCTTCACCCGGGATGATGACACGGACAGCGACACAGAAAAGGTGCGTGACGAAGCTCTTCTGAGGCTGCTCAACTCCGACACTGAAGAAGAAGATGACTTCAGTGGTTTCAGAGCGCAGGAGGACGATGAACAAACTAATCAGTAACTTTTCTGTTTTGTTTGATACTGATCAGTTCAGTTACGTTCAGTTAGACTACGTCTTCTATCCAGTAGATATCTGCGGCTTTAAGCCAGGTGCGGCTTATATTGAGGTGCGCTCTATAGTCCGGAAATTACGGTACAAATAGTTTTTTTAAATGATCGGTTACTCTGAATGTGAAAATAGTATTCCATCCCTGTTTCCTGCATTTCCTTCGAACAGAAAACACACGGTGAAACTCTAGAGTTAGTCAAGCCTGACAGATTCACGTCACACTGTCCTTGATCTCGACTCGCGACAGTTCAGCATCCAGGAAACAGCAGAGCACATTTTGACGAGTAGAAGCTAACTGTTAGCATTAGCACCACACAGCAGAACTCCTCCAGGCTTGTTTTATGTGTGGAGATAAAACATCAACGTTGCAGAGCAAATGGGGTCAGCGGTGGAGTGGCGTTGCTGTCAGCCAATCGCATGTCTACGTCGAGGTGTCCAAATATCGGGAAGTAAGAATCCAAATCATCATTTGAAGCTCAACTTTGATTTGGCTCACTTTTAGTTCCCGAAACAGGTGCACTGGAGGATTTTCTCTCCAGCGTGTGACACGAAACGTATAACTAGAGATCACTGCCAATGTTTTAAATAAGCGTGGAGGCAGTAGCGGCGGGGGTTTAGAGGAGCCACGCGGGATGCTTGAGCTGACAGAGCGACAAGTTTGGTCATTTTCCTTTTTTTGGTGGTGCAACAAGAAAGTGAAAATAAAAAAATGGACATGTTATACTTCATATTTTTTATTAATTTTATAATTTTTGGGTAAAAAAATTCTGCCAATTGGAGAAACAAAAGGTTGCGTGGCTAGACTGCTGAAAACTAGAAAAAACATCATGTTAGATTTATTGGCTGGTTTTTAGCGTTCTAGCCAAGCAACTGCTGCTTACCTCATTAAATCAAAGTAAGCACGTATAATCTGTCGGCGTTGGTGTTGTAGTGGTGTTTTTACATCAAAACATTCAGGCAGTCCGCAGGGAATTCTCTGGGTGCTTGTTTGTTGTTAATAAAAGGTTTTCATCCTTGTATTGGTTTAAGTTGGGAAGGAAAGTAAAGCATAACAGTTTGCAGGCATCTAGTTAATGACCAGGTGAGCTCTTCACTATAGAAGTGTTGAATCACAGGAAAGAGCTGTTGATTTTATTAACATCCTGTTACCTGCAGGAGGCCTCAGAGACTCACCGTGCTGCGCCTCCCTCTGCTCCAGCTCCTGCCTGAGCTGCTGCCGCTGCTCCTTCATCCCGGCCAGCTCCTGGCTGCTCCCTGAGCTGAGGCTGTGCAGCCTCTTGGCCAAAGCCTCCAGCCGGTCCCGCTCCAGGTACACCGCCTTCATCTCAGCCTTCAGCTCCTTGGCGCTGCTGAAGTCATTACCTGCGCCGGTGCACCACAGGAGGGCATTACACTCTCACCGCCTATTAATGAGCTTCTTGAGCATTAATGGGGTAATCAAGCAAGGCTAATGGTGAGCGATTCGAGCAAATGGGGTAAATGAAAGGATGCGTAATGTAGCAGGGAGGTTTTGGAGGTAAAGCTCAGTGGAAAGTTACCAGAGATGGCTGCCAGTTTGGCTTCATGCAGCGCCAAAAGCTGCGTGTCGGTCTCGCTGACTTTTCTCCTCAGGCTGCTGCCCAGCCTCTGACTCATGACCACCTGGGGATAAAGAGGAGAAGAAGATGCAGAGGAGTGAGATGGGGAGGGTGGTAACTAGCAAAACCTTTGCACAGGCATGGATCCCACATGATGCACTGCTCATTTCCTCGTCTGCCTTCATTTTCTATCTGAAACTCATTCTTTGACGACCTTACAGGTTTATCTGCATTTCAGCGTCTGTTCTGCTCTGAATGCACAGCCGAGAATCATCTCTCCTCATCAAAAACCTCTAGAGATGACACAAAAGGCTTATTTTCATATAATATATGGACTATTAGAAAGTCGGAGCAGGTTTTTGGGATGAGAAGCTGCCGCTCAGAGCAGAATTTATGGAGTTTTTTTAAGATCCGATCCATCCACTCTGCTCCTAAGCATACACACTTTTAGCTGCATTCACATAAAATCCTCGTTTCTTTTGAAGAATTGTTTTCACACCTCAAAGATACCTAGAAGTGGATCTTCTTATGCATTTATTCCTCTTCTGGAATCTGACACAGTTCTGCACATGGTTGTCAAATAGATTGGTATTTCACAGGCAGAACATCTCCAGGGAGGCTTTTTTTTCTCTTTCCTCCCACAGAAATAAAGCAAAACAGGCTTGAAATTTTTGACTTCATGCAAGAAGCTCTGTGGAGCACTTTCTGCCGTCTGTAGAAATTCTGACACCGACGATTTCATTTCCAAACATCAGGCTTTGTCAATTTTGCAAAAGCGGAGAGAATGAGAGTCACTTTCATGCCGGGAATCGTTCCGTCACAGCAAGTGTGCCGTTTTCCACATGGTGGGTATTTCATTTAAGAACCAAACTTTTCATTCCTAACATAACAATGGAAACTCTTGCGACTGGTGGAAGTGCGAACGTTGCTTTGAAGTGCAGCAAACCGGTGGTTTGATGATGGGTTTCTAAAGGACACGTGACCTCTCATACCTGCTGTTTGTAAACTGCAATTTCTTACACTTTTTTGCCTTTTTTTTTCCAGCTGCAGAAGCTTTATTAGCATAAAAGGGGAACGTCCAATCCCTGTGGAGCAAATGAGAGTAAACAAAAACACACCATACTGACCAGACTTCTATTTTTACTTTATTATGTACTTCCTCTACTCAAAAGAAAAAATCTGACAGCTTTATCTTTAACATCCCTATTTCACTTGGGGAAAAAAAAGCTGTTCAAAATGGCACATCCTGCTGCTTCTGACTCCAGCACGCAGCGGTGAAGAGATCACTGCTTTGTCAAATCAAAAAAGATCACAAGAATGCAGACTGACATTTAGTTTGCATTTTGAGCACTCCGACAGTGGCACTTACTGTCTGCTCTGACTATTAGGCTTTCATACACATTCAGTCACTGTGGGCAAGCAGCGAGGAGGCTGAGCGGTTAAGGAAACAAATCAGGTGAGAGGAGCAGGGGCTTACTTTAGCTGTAGCTTCCTTGATGGACAGGTTTAACACCTGCTCCTGCTCCTGCAGTCTGCAAAACAGGCAGAAAATGTTCAAAACAGAAGAAATAATCATTAATTCATTAGAGTCAATCAAACAGTTGTTTAAAAGCAAGAGAAAATCAGAATCAGAATCAGAATAAGCTTTATTGCCAGCGCTCCAGCGACCCAGTGCATAGGAACTTGAGTCCGCAAACACAACCTGACCAAGGTTAAACAGACGCACATGTAGACAGAAACAGGTACAGGCAGTCACGAGAGCAGCCAGAATGGCGCTCATTTCATTAGATGGAAAGGGTGTTACATGAGGATAATTGGGGTAAGGTAAAAAAAAAAGGCATAAAAGAGTTAGACCCAGCGGGGAGTAGCTCTATTATACAAAAAAAAAACTCCTCAACATAGAAGCACGAACATCACAGTTACAAAACGTCAGAGTCCGATGGGGAGGCGGGGTTGGGCGGGATCCTGAATCCTCCAACGGGAGCTGCCATTATGGCGCTCAGTCAGCTGCAGTCAAACAGGTGGGAGGGAGGGATGAGGGACAGAGAGCACATTGAGTTTCCTGCAGGTTGCTGACCTCGAAGCAGAAGTCACAATCTGAAGGCCGGGGGGGACGGGGGGGGGGGACGGTCGGGACACAGCATCTGTCAGCATTCCTCCTTTCGTGGGGGAGTGTTGAGCAGCCTTGAGAGGCTGCCTTGGCGTCAGATAAGGATAAACAAGACTTTGTTTAGGGCAGGCAGAGATAATTTTCCTCTCTGCCTTGGAGTCTATAAGGGGTCATTCATGTCCACCAGTGAAGCCAGTTATACGTTCTAAACATCCCCACACCGTCCGGCGACCCAAAAAAGGTTTTTGTGTCATGTTCTGTGTCCCTGTGGTCCCCAGCCCCCTCCTGGTTCCCCTCATGTGTCCCCTAATCTTCTATGCCCCCCTTTTGGTTCCCAGCTTCTTCGGGTTTCCCTTTAGTCACTTCATTTATCCTTAGTTAATTTATCTTTAGTCTTTGTTCTACAGTGTTTAAAGTTCAGGTTATTTAAGTTAGCCTGGCCTGCCAGACTCGTCCTCTGTTTAATTCTCTCACAGGCAGAGCGGCACTTGAGGGGCGGGACTAGGCAGCTCAAAAGTAACCAATCAGAAAAAAGACGGAAATCCCGACTGTACCGCACGATGCGGTAGACTTCTTATTGTAGTAAAAAAATAGCGTCTGGCAACGGCGCAAAGATCTTTTATTTTTTAGAACAAATGCTTTTAGCGTTTCTGCTTGTGTTTTTAAAGACATCTGAGTCATTTAGAACAGAGGAAAGAGTCGCAGCGAACTCTGCCGCCGTCTTCGCTGTTTATGACAAACTGAGCACCGCCGTGTGTGACGTCCGCGACGCTGTAGTTTTTTTAGCTGTAGTCAAAAATGGAGTCTGGCGACAGCACAAGCGTCTTTGTTTAGAAGAAAGGCTTTTAGCGCTTCTACTTGTGGTTTTAAAGACGTGTTCAAGTCATTTAGAACAGAGGAACGGGCCGCAGCGAACTCCACTTCAGTCACCATATTTATGACAAAGTCGGCGTTGAGGTGTGTGACGTACGCTACTCAGCGCTGATTGGCTCGGTTAGAATTCTCAGGGGGCGGGGTTATTTGAATAGGAGAGTTCCCAGACTCTTTCTCTGTGCAGAGTTAAACAGAGGAGGAGTCTGGCAGGCCAGGCTATATTTTAGTAGCTTTGGTTTAGGATTTAGATATGGTTTTCTCCCCTGCTTGTTTCTGCTTCTTCCCTCAGTTCATTAGTTTCACCTGTTCCCAATTCCCCACGCACCTGCTCCTCATCTCCTATCGCCCAGCCCTGTGTATATAACCCTGTCTGTGTCTTAGTGTTTGTCGGTCCATTGCCTTTGTAGCGTAGTTGATCTACATAACTAGAATTTAACGCTGTTTGCTATTCAGCTTTGCTAAATTCTGAGAAAGATCAAACGAATTGGCAAATGAAACTTACCGTATATTTTATATACATATATATATATATATATATATATATATATATATATATATATATATATTATATATATATATATATATATTATATATATACACGGATATTTATATAATCGATAGAAGTTCATACACCAACTGGCTTGGTCTATTTTAAATCAAAAGACTAATATTTAATTTAAGAGATTTAAATTAATAGCAAAAGTTTATTTATTAATTCAGAAGATTTAAAGAGTTGTCAGCGTTGTTTTGTCTGTCTCGAGTATTCTCCTGTCCTCGCTCATGAGTGACCTTCTGTTTTGCCTTTTTGTCAGCGTTTTTGCCTTTGGATTTTTGTCCAGCCTCCTTTAATAAAAGGACTATTTTCTTAAACCTCTTCTGCCTCGAGTCGTTCTGGCGTTCTGCCTTTTGGGTCCTAACCTCCTCCTGCCCCTAAAGAGACTTTACCAACATTCACACCAAAAAAGGAACCGCAGCATCGTAAAAGTGCTACCTAATAGAAGCTGCCAGTCAATTTTTTTTCTTCCCACACTTTAGCGTCAGAGTTTGCAAACACATTTTCACACCCAGAAACAGACTGTATGTAGCCCTTGCTGTTTGTGTAGCATCTGAATGTTAACAGGAAGTAGCAGCTGCTAGCTTGCGTATTGAATTTAAATAAGTGAAAGTAGGTTTCTGTGGAATGATTATGAATTCATTCCTAACCTGATGTAGATAAATGCCTTTAATGTTGTAGTAACTAGTTAGAAATACAGTTAGATACAGACAGTAGTGATCTGGGGGAAATCTTGATCTGTAATCGACTAGTTTTGTCTCCACCACCAGTTTCTCTCGTTTTAGTAAATCCTCTCGATGGAACTTGATCTGCCATATAAATGTATGGTATAAACATACATATATGTTTATACCAAAAAAATAACTGGAGTCTATAGAAATCTGAATAGAAGGATTTTTTCTGATGGTGTTTGATATGCGCCATGGATCTCACACATGATGTCCGTGATTTTTAAAGACACCTTCGATGTTGAACAAGTTGAAAATTTTGAGCAATTTTAAACAATTTTTTCTAGGAAATTTAAGTTTTTGTCATTTTTCCTAAATATTTTAGCGGTGGGTGTCTTTAGAGCCCGGCGGCAGCAGAGAAATGTTTTAGTTAAGTCGCCCGATTGACTCATCCAACACGATTTCTTTAAATGTCAAGGGCAAAGGTCGCATCAGTGATGTTATTGCTGCATATGTACATAAACATGCCAACAGGACAAACCAGGAAGGTCACATTAAACAGTGACAGAGACATAAATTAATTAGAGGATGGGAAGATGGAGCATTAAATCCATTAGACACGACACAGTCACCTTGAGACAGTCCCAGGCCTCTCGTATAACAAAAGTCACTGTGTGCTCTTCAAACTGATGCTTAAAAAGAGTCCGTCCCTGTCCCTCTGTGAGAGCACCCTCCTCGTTTTTTGGAGATTCCTCTAATCAAAAGGTAATTTCTTTCATTTAGAGCTTTAAAATTGCCTTAACTTGAAAAAGAAGAGCTTGGACAGAGAAATGAAACACAATCATGACGATCGCAGATGTGAAGCAGCAGATCCAATCACAAGTCCTCGTTTCAATCAGCAGCAAATATAAACGTGTTCCGGTCGAGGTGAGAGGGAGTCAGGTATCAAATTATTCCACCGATGGCGGGTCACGCCGCCAGGACGCGATAGTACAATCTACATGTCTTTCTAACGAGTATCAAGACAGAGGGGGCTTTCTGCAGGGCCGCGATCCAAGCTATTAACTTCAGAGGATACGATGCAAAGTAATCATTAGTATGTGAGTGAAATGATTAAAATTCAGAGCAGGTAGATGCAGGTGTGAGCCACGAAGGTGCTGGGGGGACGCTCTCAGAAAACACACCAATTCATACAATCTCACCGAGCCTGGAAAATAAACACTTTTCCCTTCAGTCAGCAGTTACATTTCTGTAGATTTTTTCCATTTTAATTGTGTTTATAGCAAAGAAATGAAGCCAGATAACGCAAAATAGAAAAAACAGCACCCATCTTCAGTCAAGAACATTTTATCTGTCAGGAAGAAAGGTTATTGAGCATTGAAATAAAATGTGATGATGAACATCTGCAGGGCTTCTCTCCGATTCGAAGACAAAGAAAAATCCCACAGATGCGTCATCCTCCAGATAAGAAAGTCCTCACTCAGAGAAAATCTGGTGTGTGGTCAGCATTTATAGCTCTTTAGCAGCCCCACCTGGACACTACAGGTACTGCATGTGAACCCATGGAATAAATGATGAAATAGTAATAATACTAATACTATTAGTATTAGTATTATTAGTATTATTACTATTATTATTATTACCATTATTGTTATAGATTGGCGCATTTTCTAGTTATTTGACTATAAATACAATTATTTAAAGTTTTTTTTTCTCATTTTATTCTGTTCAATCAAGCTCTATTGTTATATTTACTTGACTCTAATTTTTCATTTAATCAGAGCTCTTTTTTTCATTCAACCAATATTTGTGAATATTTTTAAAGAAATTCTTTCGAAAAAGTCGTTATCATGACAATCATAAAAGAACAAAAACTAAAAAGGCAGATTTTAAAGTTAAAAATAAACTATTATTCCTTGTTTTGATGCACCCGCTAACAACTGAGGGAACAGGAGGGCGAGTCTGACCTGAAGGTGGAGGGTGGAGGGCAGACGGAGATCCGGGCTCTGTTTTCAGATGTGATGAGGTCCTGCAGGGTTCTGCTCATGTCTCGAAGCTGAGCCATGGTACAGCTCCGCAGCACGGAGCTCTCCAGCTCCTTCGCCTCCAGCTGCTGCTCCTCCAGCTGGATCTGCTGCTCCAGGTATCGACTGTGCTCCTTCAGCTCTGCAAGCCTCTGCTGCAGCTCTGAGATTTGCCCCTGAAGACAAAGTTTACAACGGTCATTTTCATCCATTCACTTTAGACGTTTTTGTTCCTTCTCAGATATTCATGCATGTTTATCACATTTTTTAATGTTAGATCTTTAGACTTTGGGAATCTTCTTCATTCCTTGAGTCAGAGTTGAACAGAAGGGAGATTTCCAACTGAAAATACTTTATTCTAGTTTCAAATTTTGGAACTGAATGGATTTTCCTCGTGCATTTTTTCATTTATGCTGATGACTTTGTGTTGATGCTAAAGAAAACTGTGACATTCGGGGAATTTCCTTCCAGGGTCTAAATAAAACCTCTTTTCTGGTCACTAAGTTGGATGATTCTTATTCCACAAACCTGGAAAACATACCATCACCTTTTTAAAGGAGAATTTTTCTTCTATCGTTTAATTTTGTTGAGTCTGTGGCTGAAAGTGTTTCTATTACCAGGAACTCCTGCTGTGGAGGTTTCCGGCTCCTTCAGCGTGACCTTTAACCTTTAGCACCTCTGCAATAAATACTCTGACTTTTCAGAAACCTGCCCTATTGTGGTAGCTTTGTTTTTGTGTTATGTTCAATGATTTTCTGTAATAAAGGTTCCAAAAGATATTTTTTTCTGATTTCACGATAACTTTAATAGAGAATAAAAACATAAAAGAGTAAGAAAAACAAAAACAATACAATTAATCTTGATTGGCCCTTTAGCAGGGAAATTCAGTGTGTCAGTAAAGTCTTGGAATATAACCCAAATATAGAAAAAGTCTAATAAGTGGGGAAATCCACATGTTAACTTCATCTATTCAACAGATATCCATAACAAATATGTTAGAAATCATAAATAATGACCTGGGGCCTCGATTATCAAGCTAGCTTACGCACAAAACGGGGTCGGAAAACTGCGTAAGCAACTTTCCACGCAAACTTTGGGATTTACGAAAGAAAACTTAGCGGAAAAATGTGAACAGCTATAAGTTGCCTAAGGATCTGGCTTACGCACATGCTGGACATGGAGAGCACCTGCAGTGCTGCTGCTGAGAAGATACAATTATGAAATCCTGCAGCATCATCACTTGTACTGCTTCGTATTCACACAGAACAAGACCCCCCCACACACACACACACACACACACAAACATGCATGCACACACACACGCACACACACACACACACACACGCACACAAACACACACACGCATACACACACGCACACGCACACTCACAAAGACTAGTAATGTGTCTATAGTTCTATTGTGATGTCTTAGTAAATATTCTATTTGGTGAAAGATAAACTTTATTGTATTTATCCTAGTGGAATTCACAACATTGACGGCTTCGGCAACGCTGTGCCACTCCGTGGATTTATGTTTATGTTTATGTTTATGTATTTAGCAGACGCTTTTGTCCAAAGCGACTTACAAGTGATAATCGGCATTTTGCCCTTGAGGCTAACAACAACAATAACAAATTGGCATCAGTCATGGAGAGGAGGGAACAAGGAGTGGACAGTAGAGAGGGGGGACGGGTGCAGGGAAGGTGCTAGTTTAGAAGATGCTCTCTGAAGAGCAGGGTCTTCAGGAGTTTCTTGAAAATAGAAAAGGAAGCTGCAGTTCTGGTAGTGTTAGGAAGGTCATTCCACATTTGTGGAACGATGCATGAGAAGAGTCTGGATGGTCCTGAGCGTGGTGTAGGCACTGCTAGCCGACCATCCTGTGATGACCGGAGCGGCCGGGCCGAGACGTAAGCCTTTGCAAGAGGATTCAGGGAGATGGGAGCCGTACCATCTCGGACTTTGTATGCTAGTGTTAGCAATTTGAATTTGATGCGTGCTGCTAGCGGTAGCCAGTGGAGCTCAATGAACAGAGGGGGGACGTGTGCTCTTTTTGGCTGATTGAAGACCAGACGCGCCGCTGCGTTCTGGACCATTTGAAGAGGTCTCACAGTACAGCCTGGAAGACCAGTTAGAAGAGCGTTGCAGTAATCGAGGCGGGAGATGACAGTAGATTGCACCAGGAGCTGGGTGGCATGTTGTGTTAGGTACGGTCTGATCTTTCGTATGTTGTACAGCGCAAAGCGGCATGAACGAGCAACAGAGGCAACATGATCTTTAAAGGCCAGGTGTTCATCAATCACAACACCCAGATTTGGAACTGCCTTTGAAGGAGCCAGCGATAGGAAGTCATTCTGGATTGAGATATTGTGCTGTATGGATGGTTTTGCTGGGATGACAAGTAGTTCAGTTTTAGAGAGGTTGAGTTGGAGATGGTGGGATTTCATCCATTTTGAGATGTCAGAGAGACAGTTTGATATTCGTGCAGAGACAGTGTGGTCGTCCGGTGGAAATGACAGATAGAGCTGGGTGTCGTCTGCATAGCAGTGGTAGGAGAAGCCATGTGATCGAATGATCTCACCCAGTGAGGTGGTGTATATGGCAAAGAGAAGAGGTCCTAGTACAGAGCCCTGGGGGACTCCTGTGGCAAGGTGGTGCACGGTAGAGGACTGTCCAAGCCAAGATACGCTGAATGATCGTCCTGTGAGGTAAGATTCAAACCAGGCGTGTGCTTTCTCTGTGATGCCCATGCTAGAGAGTGCGGACAAAAGGAAGCCATGGTTGGCAAATGCAGCCCATAAGTCGAGCAGGATAAGCGCTGAGGATTTGCCAGTCGCTCTAGCTTCTTTTAAGGATTCAGTCACTGCTAACAGAGCAGTTTCAATGGAGTGGCCCTTGTTGAACCCAGATTGGTAAGGGTCAAGCAGACAGTTTTGTGAGAGGTATTCTGTGATCTGCTTGAAAGCCGCCCTTTCAATGATTTTGGACAGAAAAGGGAGGAGAGAGATGGGTCGGTAGTTCTCCACATGATTTGGAGGAAGAGATGGTTTTTTTTAGCAGCGGTTTAACCTGAGCATGCTTGAGAGAGGTGGGAAATGTACCGGATGTCAGTGAAGCGTTGATCACATGTGTGACTGCTGTGGCTACTGTAGGAGCAATAACTTGGAGCAGCTTAGTTGGAATGGGGTCAAATGGACATGTAGTAGGGCGGCTGCACGTGAGAAGCTTGGACACACAGTTCTCAGTGACAGGGGGAAAAGAGGAAAATGAAGCAGTAGGGCTTGGGATGGTTGGGCTGGAAGGAGATTGTGGTAGTGAATGTTCAGGAGTGGCCAGTTGAGTAAACTGTTTTCTTATAGCTGCCACTTTGTCAGTGAAGAATGAGGCAAAGGTGTCAGCTGATAGATTGTTGGTAGGAAGTGGAGACGGAGGGGTGAGCAGAGTTTTGAATGTTGAAAATAGTTTCTGAGAGTCAGTAGAGCTGAGAATGTTGTCAGTGTAGAAAGCTTTCTTTGCATCAGTGATGCTGGCAGAGAATGAAGACGGTAATTCCTGAAATTTCAATAGATCACCAGGATCTCTTGTTTTGCGCCATTTCCGTTCCGCAGCTCTAAGATTGGTGCGTAGAGCCCGGAGGGTATCATTTAGCCGAGGGTGCGACTGAGAGGCTCTAGCAGGTCTAGTGGCTAAAGGGCACAAGTTGTTAAGACAAGAGCTGAGTGTGGAGCAGAGTGACTCAGTGGCTTCATTCACTTCATAAGCAGAGAATGTGCTGGGAGATGGAAGAGTGGAGGCAACAAGAGAGGAGAAGTAGTTGGGTGCCAGATTGCGGAGGTTGCGGCGGAATGAGACCATTGGGGAGGAAGCAGTGGACCTCCCTTGTAGAGTTGTGCTGAAATGGATGAAGTAATGATCGGAAAGATGCAGCGGTGTGACAGAGATTGTGTCTATGGCACAGTTTCTGGAGAAAATGAGGTCAAGTGCTTTTCCAGCTTTGTGAGTTGGAGGACTTTGTACTAGTTTTAGATCAAATGATGACATTAGTGACAGGAAGCCTGATGAGCTGGGATTGTCCAGGTGAATATTCATGTCTCCAAGGACCACTGTGGGACAGTCGTGCTCAGGAATGGAGGAGAGCAGGGTGTCGAGTTCATCAAGAAATTCTCTGAGTTGACCTGGTTGTCGATATATGACAACAAAAAAGATTTTTTTCGGTACAGTCACCTGGATGGCATGGTATTCAAAGGAGTTGTACTTAGCGATTGGTAGCAACTGACTATATATCCATTTATTGGAAATTAACATGCCCGTTCCACCACCTCGGCCAGATGCACGAGAAGTGTGGGTGAAAGTGTGGTTAACTGACAGAGCAGATGGGGTAGCATTGTCACATGGTTTGATCCAGGCCTCAGTGAGAGCCAGTGCATCAAGTGATGCACTGGCTCTCACTGATTTTCTCTTATTTGTTTTGCAAAAGCACTTCCTTTCATTTCTCCACCTCACCCACAGGTACCTCAACTTCTGCTTCCTTGATCTGCCTCGATCTACGGTCGCCATGTCATTGGCGGAGCACTGCAACAGCCGGCTTATGTATACGCATGAGGTCCACAAGGCACTTTGCATTGACTATTTATGGCAGTAAGTGGGCGTGGTGAGGGCGGGATGTGACTAAAAAGCAGCTGAGAACCTTTCTAGATAGTTTCTGATTTATGAAGCGGAGATTGCGTGCAGCTGTGTGTCCTCCATGTTTGATAGATCACACACCTGATGGGTGTAAGTACATTTTTTTGCTGAGCGTAAGTACGGTTTTAGTAAGGATTCTACGCCATGTTTGATAAATGAGACCCCTGAAACGGATAAAAAGTGAGTTTTATTTACCTCAACCAGCCGTTTCTCTTGGATCAGATGATCCCGCTGCTGCAGCAGGTCGGACTGCTCCCCTGTGTCTGGTTCTGCCCTGTAAAATAACACAATTTAGCTCATGTTATCAATTATTCTAATATCTTTTTCAAACATTCTCACTTCAATTAAATGGAATGGAGGTGTGTGTTGTGGATCTTATGATAATTAAACTCATTATTTAATAACAGCAGAGCAGGGGGGTTCCATGGGGTGTCCAGGGTGGGCCAGTGCTACCCTGACAGCACACCTGGACCCCCTTTGGCCACCCTACTCAGGGCATTTATCTGAAATCGATAAGAGATGCTAAGTTAAATATTTTCGTGTTGTCACGGAGACAAAACGTGTCAGATTATTTTGTTTAATTTTAAATGAATTGAAAGCTGTTGCATCTTAAACAACTGTAACCTATCGCGTTTATTATATTGTTGTAATTAAAAGCTGAAATTTGAAATACGTAAAGGCATGTTTGTTGTGTTGTCTGACAAAGGTGTTTCAGCTGCATCCAACCTGCCCCTCGTCTAATGTCAGTCTAGGACCGCCCCTGCAGCACAGCAACACAAGCTTATTTCAGGATGCTCTCTGGAGGGACCCCACCTGCTTTCCTTCCTGTTGCTGGAGCTATTTCTGACCGTTTTCCCTTAAAGCTCCACGCAACAATACAATACCTACTGCGAAAACGTTATAACAACAAATACATGGATATTTCACTTTTTACCATTTCATTTTCGTACATATTTTATTTTACTGCATAAATATTCAACCTGAAAGCCTCAGCTGAGAAACAGGAACCCTCTTGCTGTGAGATGCATGTGGTGTGGTTGAATTACTGACTTGCGCTGACTGCAGTCATTCCTCTGGATGGCGCCGTGCACCACCTGTCTGAGCCTCTCCAGGAACAAAGCCACGCTGGGCTGTCTGGAGGGTAAACCAAGCTTCAGGGCTCCACGCTCTCTACACAGCTCCTCCAGTTTCTTCCCAAAGCGCTCAGCTAAAATAAAACACACACACACACACACACATTGATCGGTGCACAAAGCACAAACAGATATTTTACTGTTGTAATCTGTAATCTCTCATATCTGTCGGAAAACAAAGAGTAAATAAATCTGAAGTTCATTTTTACCAAAAAGCAAACTGTAAATTTGATCAGTTGTGCTGTTCTGACCCAGACGTTGCAGCAGATGTATCTGATGTAACTGTTTATGTCACGAGGATCGAGAAATAGGTCACAACACTTTTGAAAATAAACTTCCCTTTGGTCTGGAAGGGAAGCATTTGGGTCAAGCAGAGACGTAAATATCTGAACAGAGAATTGAACTGGATGATTGTGATGTTTAGTTTAAACAATAAAAACATAAGATGCATAAAATGATCAATTCTAGGGATGCACCGATACCGATATTGGTATCGGTATAAGTTGACCGATACCAGGAACCGATACCAATGCAGTTGCTTGAAAGTGGCTTCACTGTAACTTGTCATTTCTGTTCACCTAATATATTCGTTTAGTGATCATTTCTATTGATACATTTATTTTTATATATAGAATATTTTATATTTTATTAATTTCATTGCATTTTTTGTGTGGTAAAAGTATCGGTATTGGTAATCGGTGAGTACTCAGATCCAAGTATCAGTATCCGTTTGGAAAACTGTGGTATTGTTGCATCCCTAATAAATTCTGTTAATATTTGCATAAAATAAATGTATAAAGAGGCTTAAAATTAAAAGACGAACACTTCCCAAAGTAAAAGGAAGTAGGACAAAATTCCAAAAAGATTCTGCCAAAACTCTGATCCCACATGGCAGTTAGATTCAGTTACTAAGACAGTCTGATAATAGGATTAACTTTCCCAGTTCTGGTTAAAAAACAAACAAAAAAAAATACAATTGGGACCTATGTCTGATTTCAATCCTTCTCAGTGTTTACTCAAACCTAAAGAGCTGAAAATATTTCTAACAGTAAAATGACTATTGCATCTGTGTTGTTATTTATATACACATCAGTTACAGAGAAAATATGGAATTAATAACTATTTCATTGTTTCTGATTTCTAGGCTTCATCTCAAACTGTGATGCTAACTTTGGGAGGTGCTGCTCTTGACCTTTATTATGATCAGAAATAGTCATTAAAAATGTTTTTTCAGTGAACCACGCCTTTAATAGTCATGATACACAAACATATACAACCTCTGACTTGCTGACAGCAGAGATGGGAAACAAGTCTTCTCCACGCCGTGATTTTCTTCTGCTCAGCAACCGAACAAGGTTGTTTCGCTGTGCTGATTAAAATCACCTGGTTTAGTTGCCGAACTGAAGAAAAACACGGCATGGAGATGACTTGTTGCTCCCACAACGATTGATGACACAACTCTTACTTTATTAACCCTCCCACTGTCCTAGTGGGTGTGGCCCCGCGGGGTCACACCCACTAGGACAGTGGGAGGGTTATCAAAACTCAGAATAAAATAAAAACACAACTTGGGTGTTTTATCTCCACCAATAACACAAACCTGAAGGTGTTATTTTTTGTTGTGGAGCTTCTAATGCTAATGGTTAGCTTCTACTAGCCAAAATGCGCTCTGCTCTCTCTATGGGCGGTCCCAATCAGAGGTAGGCGGGGACTATGAATACTAGTTTTCCCTGTGACGTAGAAGAGCCAGGCTTTGTTTCTGACCAGATCGTTTTTTCATTCATTTGAAATCTACGGATAATGCAGGTGATGTGGGTTAAAGACAAAAGTTTTCATTCGGCACGCATGCGACCCTCTGAGGGAGGGAGGGATCGACAGTTCTACTCATTACTAGTTTAAAGTTTACCTGCATCGTAATCGTCGTCCAGAATGGCTTTCTGCTGCAGTCGCTGCAGCTTTAACATCATGGACTCAATCTTTGAGAAGAAAAGGTACACACCGTTATGATTATTATAATCAGATCACTAAAGCTTCACATTATAGTTATGATGCATTCCCCAAATGTGTGACTGTGTTTATTATCTAAGCATGAATGAAATCTGCGTCTGAACAGCATGAGCACAGAGATCTACTGAACGTGTATACACACTGTCTGCATTGTTTGCTGCCTCTATATTAGGCTATGTCAGTAAATATTTGCTCTGTTTGTGAGCCACCGCCAGCAGAAGCCAAATTCCTTGTGTGTCTTTCACACTCGGCTCAAAAAAAGTCTGATTCTGACAACAGAACTCTGAGGTTAAAAGGTTGGGGTTAACCCAGATTAAGATTTATGTCTGTAAATGAGTAATCTAATTAAGAGTCACTAACAACCAGAGCCAAATTCATTATGAGTGCTTCACATTTGGTCTGTTGAACCGATCCTAAATCTGATTCTGGATTTAATTCTAACTTTTATTTGCATTCAGATTTGATTTTGTTACTAATTCTGATTCTGATTTAAAGTCTGATTATAATCCCAATACCAGTTTCAATTCTAAAACTGATTCTGATTGTTATTCGGAATATTTGTCTCCTTGCTGAGGAGGTCAATTCTGATTCAAAATCTGATCCTAATCCTGATTCTGGTTCAGCTCCTGATTCCAATGAAGACAATAATCTTGATTCTGATCCAGATTAAAGTTTGGATCCTGATTCTGATTCAGATCCTGATTCAAATTAAGATAATAATCCTGATTCTGATCCAAATTAAAGTTCAGATCCTAATTCTGATTCTGATCTCGACTCTTAATCAGATCTTGATTTTGATTCTGATTCCAAACCTGATTCTGATCTTGGTTGTGATTCAGATCCAGATTCTGATTAAGATAATAATCTTGATTCTGATCCAGATTAAAGTTTGGATCCTGACTCTGATCCCGATTCTGATCTTGGTTGTGATTCAGATCCAGATTCTGATTAAGATAATAATCTTGATTCTGATCCAAATTAAAGTTCAGATCCTAATTCTGATCTCGACTTTTATTCAGATCTTGATTTTGATTCTGATTCCAAACCTGATTCTGATCTTGGTTGTGATTCAGATCCTGATTCGAATTAAGATAATAATCTTGATTCTGTTAACTGATCTGATTCTGATCCTGATTTTGATCTGATTAAAAAATCAGATCCTGATCATTATTTTGATTCAGATTCTGCTCTGAACTGATCCTGGTTTTGATCCCACTTCTGATCTTCATTACTGGCCACCTATATGATTGCTAACTCTGTAGCATGAAATGTGTGAATCAAAGAGACACGATGAGTGTCACCCACCTTGGTGTAGGTGCGGTTGCTTTGGAGGCAGTCCTGGAGCACGCCCTCGTACTTCTTCACCAGGGTGTCCCAGCCCTGCTCCGAGGCAGGAGTGGCGCTTTCATAGCCGGAGGTGACAGAAGAGGCGGACGCGGTATCTGAGTCCACCGACAGAGAGGAAGTGACTTCTACATCAGGAGGCTGGAACTCACAGTCAGGAAGATGGTACATGAACCTCTCGCCTGATGAAGTCTCCTCCTTCTCTCCCCGGCTGGCTCCAGATGGAGGGACAGGAGTCGACTGTTTGTGCTCCATGAGGAAAGTGTTTGTCTTTGTTGCTGTGTGGTTTGGTGTTCTGGACGGTTGATTTAATGGTTCTGCTTTCTGAACAGGTGCAGCATTTGTGTCGGTCCTCTGGCCGGAGCTGAGAGACTGTTGGATGAAGCTGAAACTGGAGTTAAAGGAGTCCTCTGGAGAGGACTGACGAGCAGGACTCGAACTTAACCTGAGTTCTTTCTGTGGGAGTGAGGACTGAGCTGGACGGGTCAAAGTACTCTGAACAGAACCAGAGGGACGGGGACGGCTGACGGAACTAAGAAAGTTCCTACTAGTCAGTGTGGGTTTACCGCCTCGCAACTGGTTCGTTAAAAACGCTTTGAGAGGAGGGGTTTGACTCAGCTGCTGACGTCCAGATTCACCATTCCTAATGGGAGTGATGCGCTCCTCCTCATCTTCCTCTTCCTCCTCCTCCTGGCCATGAACAGTGACCTGCAGTCTGGACTGGTCTCCTCTCATGTAGCCTGGTCTTCGGTGCAGCCTCTTACGTCCAGAGCTGCCAGCTGTCCCTGACGCTTTGCCACCTGTTGATGCAGAGATTAACCATTAATCTGGAGACGCGGTCGCGAGGAAAAGGTGTGAGCTCATCGAGCTGCTGGGATCAACGGAGCGATTACAGTCTGCAGCAGAAAAATGTACAATATTACACAAATAAATCTGCTTGGTCCCAAGCCCACCACCCTTAGAGCTAGCTCACTAACTGGACAGAAAAAGTCATGCAGCTGTGTGACTTTTCCCATAGTTCTGCTCCAGCTGTTGGGAAATACCAAACCTCCCAGTAACGTCTCGCTGTGAAAAACGTTTTCAACTCTTTAAATGTGTTTGTCTTCTGCTCAGGACAATAAGACTGCTCTGGTGCAAAACACAACCGAGACAAATTTTACACCAACTGGAAAAAGGTTTATGAAGAAAAATGTGCATCAAATGAGATTTGTTTTGTTGGAAAGATTCACAAAGAATCTGTGTGATGATGTTCAAGGTTATGGATACTAATAGATACCGGACATTTAAAACATATGAACTGATGGACTTGCCCAGACGGTGTATATTTTTATTTATTTATTTTTTGATAAAAAGGACAAAAATTAGTTAATCTGCTAAAATATAAACATTTTTTGTATTAATTGTGATTTTTAATTTAATTTAATTTAATTTAATAAAAATACCAACCTGTGCAAAACCTTTTGGATTTGGTCGATACAATAAACAATAAAAAATATTTGTTTGTTATAAAAATAAGAGATTTTGAGCAAAATAACTAATATTTCAGCAAATAAATCTTTCTTTATTTATTTTATTTTTTTATTTATTATTTTTTATTTATTTATTGCTCTTATCCTATCTCAGTTTCTGTGAAACTCTTCAGTTTAAACATCTGGCTCATATTTAAGGAAACTTTGAGTTGTTTTTCCAGACTTTTGTTTATTTAACCAAAGGTACCACTGGGAAGAGAAGGTTAAAGAGGCACTAGCAACAAAAAGATTAGGATCACTTGGAAATGTATTTGTTTTCATGCAATTAACAACTTTGTTCATTTGACATAAATAATCTGATGTATTTGTGTCATTTATCAGTCCTCTGCACCAATACATTAGTTAAACACTTCTAAAGCTGATTATTAAAAATATTTATTTTTTTTTTCAAATGCTTTGCACAGCTGGAAACCTCTGTAGTAAATCCAAGGATAGCTTTTTCCCATAATTTCAATAGCATCATCAGTTTTTTGTTTTTTTTTTAATGGAAAACAAGAGAAAGAACAGCGAAGCCGTTTACAAGAAGGGACACAGCAGACTGCACATCTTGAGGATGCTTAGGTCCTTCAATGTCTGTAGCAAGATGCTGCAGGTCTTCTACAAGTCTGTTGTTGAGAGTGTAATCTCTTCAGCCATCGTCTGTTGGGGTAGCAGCATCAGAAGCAGGGACCTGAAAAGGCTCAACAGCCTAATAAAAAAGGCTGGTTCTGTTCTGGGGACGACTGTGGAACCACTGGAGGAGATCATGCAAAGAAGGATTCTCCAGAGAATCAAGAAAATGATGGACAACCCTGAGCATTCTCTTCACAAGACTGTCCGACAACGGAAGAGTGTCTTCAGTCAGAGGCTTCTTCAGTTTGGCTGCAACACTGACCGCTACTGGAGATCCTTCCTGCCAACAGCCATTGTAATATACAACAACTCTTTGATGACTTGATTATTATTATTATTCTGAGCTACTACAGCAATCAATTTCCCTCTGGGATTAATAAAGTATTTTTGTATTGAATTTGAATTGAATTGAAGACAATTTCTGATTTAAAGACATATTACGACCATAGTAGTTCTACGGCTGATTCAAGACATGTTCATGAACTTTTTTGCGCAAAATTCCTCTCATGAAGTGATTTAGATCTTCTTAGTCCCTACACCCCCAGCAGGTCCCTGAGGTCCAGTGATCAAAGCCTACTGGTTGTGCAGCACCAGGCTAAAGACCAAAGGTGACAGATCATCTGCTGCTGTGGCCCCCAGACCCTGGACCTCTCTCCTCCTGAGCCTGAGATCGGTGGACTCAGTGGTCTCCTTTAAAAAGCAGCTGGAAACTCACTTGTTCAGGCTTTGGTGTGACCTTCATCACCCTCTCCTTATTTTGTTCTTATGCCGCCTTTCCCAAGATCCACTGATTTCCCTCTTTCCCATTCATTTTCTCTGTCCCTTTCCTTACGTTTGTATTTTCTCCTTTTAAACATATTCTTAGTCATTTTTGAAATCTTTTATACTTAAATTTGTTTGGATTTTGGGATTTTTATCCTGAGAGCTGCTAAATAAAAGATGGTTTTCTTTCTTTCTTTCTTTCGATTTCAGAAGTTTTATTCTTAACATTTTCAGTACCTTCCAGAAGGAGCTGTTTCAGGGCTCTGTCACTTTAAGAAAACAAGCTGGAGCTGGCCACGCACCCCCATCCCCCACTCAGGCTGCTATCAGCTGAGGAACTCCGATATCTGGGAGGGGCTTGCAACTCAGCTTGTGACATCACAAACTTGGAACTTTTTGAAACAGATTGTTTTAACTCATAAAAACAAACACTGACAGAAAACAGATCAATGTTTTTTCATATTTGGAGTGTTTGTAGTGGCAATTGGTGGATCTTTGTTGACATCTTTTGTCATCTTTGTGCACATGTGCGAGTAGGGATGGGTACCGAATTCGGTACTTTTTAAGGTACCGACCGAATTCCACAGTACCGACCGAGCACCGATTCACGTCATTTCAAACGGTGCCTCGTTTCGGTACCCGTCCTTCATAACGAGAACTTGCCTAGACAGCTGCGCATGCGCAAGAGCGTTATGTCGTCGGTCCCTGCGAGCCAGTTGTAAACAGAGCAGCACGGTAGAAAGAACGCACGCTAAAGCTTGGGTCCACTTCACTAAATGTGATGGGTAACTGGGTGATGATGAAACCAGCGACAACGATCTAAGTGAGACATCCTCATCTTAATCTGCTCTGGTAGGTAAATATAATGTTTACGATAACGTTAGCTTGATTTGTTAGCTTCCGTTTCACTAATGGTGCATTCGCTTTCTCCTCGGAACTCCGAATTTCCGACTAGAAGAACATGAACGCGCTCTAAAGTTTGGCTTCACTTCACTAAATGCGATGGGTGATTGGGTGAAGATGAAACCAGCGACAACGATCTAAGTGTGAGGCATCATCGTTTTAATCTGCTCCAGCAGCTAAATAAACTGTTTAAGATAACGTTAGCTTGATATGTTAGCTTCCATTGCCACCGTTGTTATCAGCTAATGTGCGTTCGCTTTCTCCTCGGAAATTCTAACTTCCCAGTAGGAAAAATCAAATGAAAAAAGATGGCAAAAGGAATGAAGATACACAGTAAAAATGTTTGCTTCAGTTTAATTATCAGCTTATAAAACTACAAGGACGATGTTAAAATACAAACAGTTGAATGTTATTTATCGTGATATTTATCAAATATGGTTATATATTGAGAAAAATATATATTTAATTCTAAAAGAGAATTAAACTATTAAACACTCAAAAGTATCGAAAATTGGTACCGTTAAGTACCGGATCAATTCAAATGTCAAAGGTACCCATCCCTATGTGCGAGTAGCTGGGTGTCAAAAACAAACCGCTATCAATATGCCATGCACACTTTTAAGAGAGTTTCCAGACAAAATCTCAGATATATAAACACTTCAACGTCTAAAGACAAGAGGAGGTTTAGAGAGAAGCTTAAAATCTGTAATGAAGAGATAAATTAAAGTTATTAATGAGCTCTGGGATGACGGAAAACGTCGGTTCGATTCGCCAGTGTTTTGTCACAAATCTGCATGGTGGCGCAGTAGTTAGCACTGTTGCCTCGCAGCACGAAGGTCGCAGGTTCAAAACTCGCCTTTCTGCGTGGAGTTGCGTGTTCTCCCCATGCATGCGTGGGTTTTCTCCGGGTACTCTGGTTTCCCCCACAGATCACAACATGCCCTATAGGTTATAAATTGTGAGTCGCTTTGGGTAAAAGCGTCTGCTAAGCACATAAACATAAACATAAACATAAATCTGCTGGGGCGACATTTATTCCTATTCAACAGATAGCTCTGGACCCTTCTCTCATGACAAAGACTTTTGTAGAGGGGTAAAAATTGTTGCTTTTAAGCTTAATATATTACCTTTACTTATGACCAATAAGAGTTGATATTCTATATAAATATAGAATGTCAACTCTTATTGGTCTCTGGATGTTTAATCAGAAGATTCTAGGATTCTTTGCTTTTCCCAGGGATCAAACACACTTCGTATCAATTCAGACAGTCAGGTTTATAAAAGATAAGAATTTATTTTCTAAACAAATAAAAACAAGACAAGTTAACCAAGGCTACTGTGATTGATGAATTTAAAAGGATGGGATGTGATGTGTGGTGATTTAATGGTGTGTGTTTATCAGAACTTTGTATGCAGAAGAACTGAGTTCTGGGTGTGAAAAGGAATTTGGTTTACATTAAGCTAAGTTGGTTCTTATCAAAACCACATCAGACACAATTTGTGCGTCTACCTCACCATTTCTTTGGAGACCCTCTTTGCAGATTCGGAGGTCAGGGAGGTCGGATGACCACTGGGCACCGAGGTTTGGTAGATTAACCGCAACACCGACTCTCCAGTCCAGAGATGTTTCCGAGTCACGACAGATAGATGAAATTGTTTGCGTCTAGAACAGCTGTTTCTGAATAGCTGAAGGAACCGTTTTGCTGTGTCAGCTTCAGCGTGTAGCAGGGTTTTTGACAGCTTGTCAAAAATGCTCTGGGCTAAAGAGGGTTCGCTCCGGATGGCCTGTCCATAGCTTTCTCTAGAACTGACTCACCGTCAAGTGATCCTGTTTTAATATTCTCATATTATGATTTCTTGGCCAACCGGGACGTGCCATGTTAAGGGGTGTTAACAAGCAAACCTCAGAACATCACACCTTCTTTCAGATACAGGATGCTCTGATTTGTGGCTACAAAAATATCTATGTGTCACAACGTTTAACTTAACTTTAA